ACTTAGCAATTGTTTGAATGGTCAGGTTGGGCAGTAATTCTGGAGGGAAGGAGAAATCAGAGGTGAGTCTGGTCCCTTCTCTTCTTCTTCTTTATTTTCTTTAAATTAACTTTTTCTTTGGGGGGTAGGGGTGGGGAGGAGAATTTCCCTAATGAGCCTTGGTGATGAAAAGCAAGAATTCACAATAGATGATTATTGTCCTACTATTACAGTTATCATAAGGGTGATCTAATCCTTTCCAGAGCCTCCTGCATCCTATTAAGCAAACTAAGGGACCTTGTTCTTGTCTAAGAAGGCAGTAGGAATGAACAGTAGGTATGACAGGGCCCTTGTGTCAAGCATTCAGGAATTATTTGTTAGCTCCAGAACTTTCCAGTTGCACGTGTCCAGTTGTATTTCAGTGTGCTTCCCATGTCCAATATGAGGCTATTTTTTTGTGGGTCAAACCAAAAAATGATGCTGATGATAGCATGGGTCACATACTGTGAAAAAGACACCAGAGGAAGACTCCTCTTAGCCTATGGTCTAATCATCCAACTTAAGGGACAATGGCCAGGTCAGATAAAAAGGGTCTCAAATACTGCTTCAACCTAGACCTGAAGTCATTTGGTCACAGACCTTACATCCATGTAGTAGTGCTTAAACACAGAGGTCTCTTCCCAAAGTACAGACCTGGTGATTGTAATGTTCTGGCCTACATTCCAAGGACTGGCCCTTATTTTTATCTTGTGCTTCAGATCTCAGGCCAAGGTTTTCTCTGTCAGCTCTGTGCACAGAGGAGACCCTTGAGAGCTGATTGATGGGACTGATTAATTTAGAAACAGTCCCCTCTTTGCTCAAGTGCACTTCCTTTACCTATAAATGCCTTACTATGACTGTTTCATCTCTAGCTCTTGCTTGTATATTGCTAACAGACTTAGGAATCCTAGGAAAAGAGATTTTTACCGACACGTATATGACTCACATAAGGCTGAACTTAGGACTCTGTTAAATGCTGCTCTTTGGACCAACTTTGCAAGCCTTATGTGAACAGGGCACGATTCATTAACTGAAAATATAATTCATACTTCAGCTTAAATTAGACTTCAGGCACACATCAAGCAATTAATCAGTAGGTTGGCCTTTTAGGCCTGGTTGGGGCTGGGGCAGCAGTTTTTCAGAAGTTGTAAATATGGTTTTTTTTTTTTCAGAGAAATAAAAAAAAAAGTTTTCCAGAGGGGTAAGACAGATGCTGCCAGGGGTCAGCCAGTTTTTGAGGCCTGAAAAGAAAACCATGTTGTCTTTGCCTCATCCTCAGGAATATGGGGCATGCTGCTTATCTCATAGTCAGGCACATGGCCCTGATGAGAACACGGAGCTTTCTTTAACTCAATTTCAACTCAAGGACATCTGCTTTCAGTTCAGTCCCTCTCGAGGCATAGCCCAAGTCAAGAAAAGGTGGCATGGGTCCTTTGCCAGTGAATTTCAGTTCAGTAATGAAAACTGACTTAATTCCAAAAGATTAGTTGAAGGTTTGCTGTAGTGTGCTATTCATTTTTCCACCTTGGCATTTATTTAAATTCTGGGTCTCTAAGCAGAATTCCTCAGAGTAGGTCCTCCCCAGCCTAACCTCTACCCTTAGAAATATCACAGGGTCATAGACTCATAAATTCATAGGTTTGTAGGATTCTTTCACACAGCTGCCAAAGCAATCTTCCTAAGTTGTGGGTCTGACCATATCACACATATACCCCACCTTCAGTAAATTCCAAAGTCTTCTTGTTGTCTCTGAGATCAAATCTAAGTTCCTCTGGTTAGTTTTTTAGCCTTTCACAGTGTTGTTCCAACCTACTTTTCCATAAGCCATTAATCCCCTTCCTAAACTTTATGTTCCTGTCTAGTGGGCTTCCATACTGTTCCTTGCATTCTACTCTCCATCTCTTTTGTCCTTTGCATTTGCCATCCTCCATGCCTCAAAGGCATTCCCACCTCATCTTCACCTTTAGATTCCCCTGTTTCCTTCAAAGCTCTGTTCAAGTGACATCTCCATGAAGCCTTTCCAAATGCTTCCAGATGCTGATGCCTTCTACCTCCCCCAAATTTAACTTATATTCTTTTTGTTTGTTTGTTTGTTTGTTTGTTTTGCTTTTTGGTGAGGCAGTCAAGGTTAAGTGACTTGCCCAAGGTCACACAGGCAGTAAGTGTCAAGAGTCTGAGGCTGAATTTGAATTCAGGTCCTTCTGACTCTAAGGCCAGAGCGCTATCCACTGCACCGCCTACCTTCCCCCTTATATTATTTTTGCATAATATTTTATATGTTTTATTTATGTTTATTTTTTTCCCTCCCTCAAATGAAATGCAAGCACCCTGAGGGCAGGTTCTTCTTCCTTTTTGTTTTTTGGATCTCCAGTGCCTACTACAATGCCTGGCACACAGTGAGTGCTTAATAAATATAAATGCTTGTAGATCATTTGATTGATTGACCATAGATTTAGAACCTTAGAATCTGTCTAATCCAACACCTTTATTTTACAAATGAGGAAAATGAGGTCCAGGAAGTTAAATAACTTGTCCAGAAAGCAGATAGAAAGTCTGACCTATTTGTTGATAAGCCTCAGTTTCCCTGTCTGTAAAATGAGAAGCTTAGACATAGATGACCTCTAAGGATCTTTTCAAATCTAAAACTTAGGATGCAACTATATTTACAAAGAACTTTATTTTTACTCTGGAGCAGAGTGAAAGCAAAAGGAGACATATAAGCAAGAAATAAAAAGAAAGGAGGTAAGAAGGAAGAGAGTAACAGAAACAAAACCTAACAGCATTGGCAACAATAGGTAGTGGTGATGATTCGAAGAAGGCCTATGGATCAGAAATGGCTGAAAATATCAGGCAGTGATAATAAAGAAGAGAAGCAGGAGAGAACCACTCTAGAGGCATTTAGATGGTGCCATGAATGGAATTCTGGGCCTGGAGTCAGGAACACTCAAGTCCAAATCTCGCCTCAGATGTTTACTAGCTGCATGATCCAGGACTAGTCACTTAACCTGTCTGCCTCAGTTTCCTTGACTGTAAAATGGGGATAATAATAGTACCCTACTTCCCAGGGTTGTTGAGAGGATTAAACAAGATAATATTTGTAAAGCGTTTAGCGCAGTATCTGGTATATATTCGGTGCTTAATAAATACTTGTTTTCTTCCTTCCTCTGCAATCTGGGAGGGCAAATAACCATATTCCTCTCAATAGTCTTTGAAGATAAGTATAGGAATACATCTCTATTGTGTGGCTGTGGGCCTGGACTTTGGGGAAAACAAGACAGACTTCTGTCTCAACTTGCAAGAGCTTGAAGATGAGGGACTAAGTCCTTAAGACCCATGTTCCATGAAAAATGTACCTGTATCTGTAACATAATCCAGCAGCTGATGTTCATAATTAGGCCATTGCTATTTATGCATGTTACAAGTGAAATGGAATTTTTAGGCAACAGTAGTTACAGAAAGAAATTGCCTTCTAAAATGCACAATAATTATAGATTCATTAAAATCTAGAGCTGTAGGGAACCCCAGAGATCTTCTACGCCAATCCTCTCATTGTACAAATCAATTGATCAACCAGTATTTATTTAGCACTTATGTACCAGGCATTATGGGGATGGAAGTACGAAGAATGAAATAATTCCTATTTGAAAGAAGCTTACATTCTAATGAGAGAAACAAGAAATACTTACAAAATATACATGTATGTACAGCAAAAATATAAGCTAAATTAATACAAACACATGGAAAGTGCATCGTGACTTTCCCCATCCTGGTTTTGATATATCTCAGGTAAGCATTAGAAATTAAATGGGAATTTTGGGAGAGTTTTGTGAAAGCCACAGATGATACAAGAAGGCCAGCATGCAACACAGAGCTTATGACCAAATACTTAACCCAAAATTTACAATAAGTTACTGTAAACACCCCATAAAAGAAAATGAAAAAATTCAAACTTCTTCTCTGGTATGAAGGGAGGGCCAAAAAATTTTACACAGATTTTTCAGATCATGGGGCTCTGTGCCCCTAACTCCCAATGTAGAAGGTAGTTTGGGGAAAAGGACCAGGCAGAAGATGATGCCTGAACTGCATCTTAAAGGAAGAAAAGAATTCTAGGAGGCAGACAGGAGTAAGGACAGAGTGCATTACAAGTGTATGGAATGGCCACTACAGTAGGGCCCAGATAGGCAAAGTGACTTACCAGAGGCCATATAGTTTGTTAGTGGCAGAACTGGGACAAAGCCCTAGGTTCAGAATCTGGGACCCTTTTGTTTTCCCACTTAACTTGTTCCATTGTATTGTGAGAGGACTTTTTTTTTTTTAAGTGAGGCAATTGGGGTTAAGTGACTTGCCCAAAGTCACACAGCTAGAAGTATTATGTGTCTGAAACCGGATTTGAACTCAGGTCCTCCTGACTCCAGGGCCGGTGCTCTATCCACTGCGCCACCTAGCTGCCCCATTCTGTTGTATTGTGGCATTTTTTTTTTTTACAGAAAATTTCTTAGAATTATATAATTGTTAGTCATGTTCAGTTTACCCCCCAACAAATAAAAATAAATTCAGTGACAACATAGTACTCTTCCTTTGCTTACCAAAAGGCTGGCACTGGTTGAAGCTGTGCTATGTCTGAATGAATCTCTTTTGTAAACACCTCTAGTTTTCTACAATACTTCCATAATTGGGAAAGGGATATTTACTCAACCAAGAGGGAGCCATCTATTAAAATACTACTTCATAAGTAATATTTCCTTATGGCATTTGTTTGTATGTACCAGTGAAACAAAATTTTCCTGTGCTTAATAATTTTTTGCAGATGAAGGAGCATTTTAAGTTTTGGATTTCAACTTTGATGGTAATGACTTCCGGGCTCCCAATAATTTTTTATGTGTACTTTGGTCACATCACTTATCCCCATTGAAAGCCAATTTATAAATGTGAAACATGAAGGTTCTGCCTATCAACTCTGTCCATTTCTGATTCATCCTTAGGATTAACAGGAAAAGAAACCATAGAATCAGAAGTCTGGAAAAAGGACCTTAATGGGCAAGGATGGAGACAACCTCCTGAAAGCACTATTGGCTAAGTTCCTGTGGTGCCAAATCACAAGGCAAGGTTTCCAAGGTCAGTGGGTCATAGTTATTGCTTATTCTTCCTCTCTCTCCCTCTTAATCCCCTGTCCATAGTGCATTTTATCACGTGGGTCATCAGAAAAATACTGTATTTCCTTCGGAATAAGTTATTGAGAGTTCATCCCTTATGTTCTTCTGCCTTCAGACAAAACTACATTTAAACCACCCAGAGACATTGCTGCCTATACTTTTTCTCGAAAGAGGCTCTGTGGTTTCCATTAGTGATACGGCCTAGTGTCTCAACCCTCTCAAGCCTGTGAATTCTGACCAGAATCCCTCTTTTGCTAATTTAAGTCCAGTCTGTCTTTTCCTGGCCACAGTGGAAAGGGAGAACAGCTGGTCACTGTCACTTATGCAGCAACCCAGCCTACATTTGCAGCAGCCCCCATGCAACCCTAATCTCCCTAGGCCTTGTGCCCTCTTTTCTTTAGGCCAATGAAACCCAATCTTTAGCCTTTCCTTAACCTTCCTATTCTAGGAACTCCTTTCTATCTTTTCTGCTATTTGGTAAATTATTGTGTCAGAAATCACTATTCATTGTTATTTGTTCTAGATGGCATTTCATTTGTAATCTCACAGGTCTCTGGGCTATGTTCTTTCATTTTCATCTCCATAAGCACAAATTATAACTATTCATCTTCATTAATTCTTCTTTTAAAAAATAAGGTGGCCTCCTTAAAGAGTCCCAAGGGAAGCTTGGTAGGGCTTTTAATTCATCAGCGCTCATTGGTAAAGCTGGCCAAGTAGAGCCCCCTCTTGGTTAACCTTGAAGTGCAGAACTCACCTCTGTGGGTACCTTGCAGGTTACCTGCAGGGAAGAAATCTGTGGAAATGATGAATTTCAGTAGTGGTTGCAAAAGGCAGTAAGTAAGTCAGTGGCCTGGCCACCCAAAATAAGCTCGGAATGGTGCAGACATGTCAAGTGGGCATGTGAAAGGTAGGAAAGAAGACATGGAGTGGCCTCTCAGTATGAAGAATGGAGGTGTAAGGATTACTGAGACATCTACAAACAAATGCAACACTCATTAACCAAGGAACTTAGTTTATTCCTTGGTTCATTAAGCAGCTACTGTGTACAAAAGCAGCATGCAGGGGATGGATGAGACACACGTGCATACTTTATATCATTGGGCTGTTGATCCAGAGCACACAGGAGATTCAGTGTGGTACAGTGGAAAGAGTACTGATTCTGAGGCCAGGGGACCTTGGTTCAAATCCTGCATTTGTTACTACTCTTGTGATATTTGGAAAGTCACTTAATCTCCCTGGGCCACAGTTTCTTCATCTGTAAAATGAGGGGGTAAGACTAGAAGATGTCGAAAGTCCCTTCTAGCTATAAATCTCTTATCTAGTTCAACCCCCTCTTACAAATAAAAAAAACTGAGTAAGACGCTATTAGGCTGCTAGGTGGCGCAATAGTTAGAGCGCAAGGCCTGGAACCAGGAAGACCTGAGTTCAAATGCAGCCTCAAACACATACTAGCAATTGACCAACAAGTAGAAGAAACTATCCCCATTCTCGTGGAATTTATAGACTAGTCAGGGAATATGACATATAGACAATTCGGTATAATCACATTATTACGTAATAAGTACTTTGAGATGAGACCTGTAGTCTAATAATCTTTTTGTTGTTGTTCAGTCATTTCAATCACATCCAACTCTCCATTTGGGATTTTCTTGGCAAAGATACTGGAGTGATTTGCCATTTCCTTCTCTAGCTCATTTTACAGATGAGGAAACTGAGGCAGACAGGGTTAAGTGACTTGCCCAGGATCACACAGCTAATAAAAGTATCTGAGGCCAGATTTGAACTCACAAAGATGAGTCTTCCTGATTCCTAGCCTGGCACTGCATCCGCTGAGCCACCCAACTGCCCATGGCACCTAACTGCCCCTGAATCACCTGGGAAACTCCTTATTTGGGAACTCCCCCCGCCACTTCAGATCAGTACCTACTCTGTACCTTACAGTGTTAACTGTAGCAGTGCCTGGAGCACTGAGAGGTTGTGTTCACACAACTAGTATGTGTCAGAGGGACCTAGATCCTCCCTCCAAGGCCAGCTCTCTGTGCCTCATTCTACTATATAATACCATATAATGCATTATATAGGTTCAAAATAAAGTCTATAGTGATGCCACCTGTAGAGAATAGTTATGTCCACCCTTGACTCCTCCTCCCAGGAGGGCACCATGTGTTACCTGGAGCCATTTATACCATCTGACAGTATTGTCCCTTTCTTCTAACTACTGTGACCTTCTTGTGACTGGAAGAATTGAATGACCCTACATTGGTTTACCATCCTGTACATTTTAGTACCCCTTCGGTACCACAAAAGTGTATAGAGGGTATTTGCAGCCTTGGCCTAAGAAACCTGAGATCTCTTGGCAAACTCAGATTGTGCAGTTTAATGCACCTGATTATATTGACATCTGTGACGGCTGGAGTAGCCACTATTGACATAATGCTGCAGCATCATTCAGAACCCTGAATGAAAAATGAAAAACCAGTATGTCAGAATTCTGTTATTGCCTGAGGAAAACTCAGTCACTAATTTGCTGAGCATCATTCACCTTGCCCCTGATTTGTGAAGTTACCTGGTATTCACTGAGGTCCCCAGGACAATTTATTTGGTAGATAGACTTCCAGATGTGACAGAAGTCTTCATGGGAGGTTTGTTGATTTTTTGTTTGTTTTAAACCAGGCATTTCCCTCTCCCAAACCTTCCCATAAAAAGTTAGGGTTGAATCCTGTTATAACATGGTGCATTTTCACACAGATTCAGATATGACATGGATTTTAAAAAAGTAACTAACTATATGAAGTAAAAACCTCTGTAACGTTTAAGCTGTCATACTAGGGATCATCTGATCTCATAAAAGAGTCTTTTTGTGTTTTAAATCATCACACAATTAGAACATTAGAGGACAAATGAAATTTTTTTGTTTGTTTTCACTTTTTGAAACAAACTGGAAGAGAAACATACTACTAATATATGAGAAAACTGAGATTCCATTTTGGTTGCTGAAAATGGCAGTGCCAGCTGATATCACAGTATTCCTGGGGGAGGGGGCTTTAATTCTAGCCCCAGGGAAATAACTGAGTGCACAGAAACAGTTGTGAAAGCAAGCACTGATACTTGTACCTGGGGCTTAATGAGAATTAAGCAAGAGACCTAAATCGTAAAGTCCTTGAGGGTGTGGTGGAATGTTTTTTGATTGTTTTCTGTAATAAATGGTTACTGAAAAAATACATGATGGATGAATTCGATGTAATGAGAAACTGAAAATATATTCAGTTCTGGATTTTCTGAGCTTGAATTACTCATTTTTTGATTCCCAATAGCAAATGTTTAATTCCAGGCTCATTTATCCCTGTGATTTAACACTCTTACCATTGGCTTCCTGTCCATCATCAGTTGGTCTATGCTTAGGGAATTCAAAGTAACATTATGAAGTCATATCATCTTTACCAATAAATACTTATTGAGTTATTTGTAAGGCACTATGCTGTACACTGATGATATTAAGAAGTGTGAAACGGGTTCCCTGTCCCTCTTGAATTTACACTCCTAGTTGGGGAGATAAGACATGGACAGACAAAAAATAAATAAGAACACAAGGTAGCATATGCCAGGTGGAAATGAGTAGGACACACAGTGAGTACTGTAAGATCACTGTAAGCTGCGACAATTGGGGAAATTCTAATAAAGGTGGGTTTTGAATTGTTCCTTTGGGGACAGATTGGACATAAATCGAAATGAGGAATTAGGGTATTATTTGATAGAGGTGGATAGGAAGATGGAGGAATGTCATGAATAAAACTACTTCGGAAGGAAGATTTGTGACCTGTTCAAGGAGCAGGAAGTAGAGACCACTGGATTTGGAATATGGGGTTTGTGTAGGACCATGGTAGGAAATAGGCAAATAGATACCATTTTGTGAAGAATCTTGAATGCTAAGCCAAGGAATTATTTTGTTTCTGTTTTCTCTGCAAAACAGAATGTCCTTTATTCTGAAAATGACAGAACAAAAATGACTAACAAGGTGTTGTATCCGGAATAAGTAAGGAGATGTTAAGAGAGTCTCTTGATTTATTTAAGTTGCCTGGTCTAGAACTACATCCACAATCCTGAAAGAACTTGCAGATGTCATTACTGAGCCGCTGTCAATGATCTTTGAAAGGTCATGAAAAACAAGAGAGGTGCCACAAGATTAGAGAAGAGCAAATGTACTGGTTTTCAAAAAAGGAAAGAGAATAGTGTAAACTATAGGCCAGTGAACTTGACTCTGCTTCTTGGGAAAGTTCTAGAAAAGCTCATTAAAGTAGAAAAGGGGGAACAGGCTCATTGCCAGTAGAAAGGGGAAAAATGAAACCAGCTTGGCTTCATCAAGAACAGTTTCATGACAGACTAATTTCATTTTCTTGTTTGATAGGATTATGAAATTGTAGATGAGAAGAATGCTGTAGATGTAGTTTGCTAAGGTTTTTAGCAAAGATTTCAATAAAGTATCTCATTCTGTTCTTGTGGAGAAAGTAGATGAGATAATACAGATAGATTCAGAACTGGTTGGTTGGTAGACTCAATGAGTAGTTGCCAATGGGTCAATCTAAATATGGCAGGCAGTCTCTAGGGCAGAACCACAGGGGTCTGTGTTTGACCCTGTGCTGTATTAAATATTTTATAAATAACTTGGATAAAGGCATAGATAGCCTGCTCATTAGATTCATAGATAACACAGGACAGGGATAACTAAGGCACTGGGTGACAAAATCGGGATTCAATAGGATCTGGACAGACTAAAACATTGGGCTAAATCTAACAAGATGAGATTCAACTTGTTGGAGTAGGGATTCCTTTAATGTATGGGTTAGGTGAGAGGGCCACTGAGGTCTCTTATGACTCTCAAGTCACTCTGTGAGTTTGTGAATTTAATATTGTCCAAATGGCCTAACTGAATCATAATTAAAATCAATATATTGTTCCACTTTC